TATAGACGTTTTTCCTGATACCCAACCTAAACTCTCCTGGCACAACTTGAGGCCATTCCCCTCGTCCTGTCAGCGGTGAGAAGAGACCAGCCCCCAGGACCCGACACTCAGCCCTATTGAAACTCATACAGTTTGCCTCAGCCAACTGACCAATCTGTCCAGGTCCCTCTGCAGTGCCTTTCTCCCCTCCGGCAGATCAACACTCCCTCCCAGCTTGGTGTCATCTGCAAACTTACTGAGGATGAACTCAATCCCCTCATCAAGATTATTGATAAAGACGTTAAATACGAGTGGTCCCCGCACTGAGCCGTGGGGGACACCACTCGTGACTGGCCGCCAGCTGGGTTCAGCTCCATTGACCACAACTCTTTGGGCCTGGCCATCCAGACAGTGTTTCACCCAGCAGAGCGTACGCCCATCCAAACCATGGGCAGCCAGCTTCTCCACGAGGATGCTGTGGGGGACAGTGTCACAGGCCTTACTGCAGTCCAGGTAGACCAAATCAACAGCCTCACCTTCATCCACTAAGCGGGTCACCTTGTCAGAGAATGACATCACGTTTGTCAAGCGGGATTTACCATTCGTATGATCTCAGGAGGCTTTAACCCAACTGCTGAAAGGATATGGAAAGGACACGTGAGTATGTCATCCCTGTGTCACGGTACATCATAAGCCCCGTGCATGTTCTACGTTTCTTACGCCCTCCATCATTCTCACAGCCATACACGGGGCTCTGGGGAGCCGACGTTTCCGTTGTTGTTGGGGGTCCTGCTGCCACCTTGAGGTACTGGGCCGAACTGCCACCGTCTGTGTGAAACGAGGAAAAAATACAATTCTGAACCCACAGCACCTCAAAGTCCCTTCGAGACACCCCGACCACAGCCCCCGCTGCCCCTTACAAACCTCAGGAGTGCCAGCAGCACCTCGTGCCTTAGGATTCCCGGTGCATTTCGCGAGGATGCGCTCATCTCCTGCATCGTGATCATTGGCAAAAATGTCCAACGGCGCTGACCAGAGCTGGGGGCTCAGCGCTGGCACGCAGGGAAACCTGCTGTGCTGCAGCGTGAGCCTCCGGCACTGCTGCTGGGCACCGCCGGGCGCAGCCTGGTTCCGTCCTCTCCGCACCTCCCTGCGGGGACTGATGGCCGTGCCCGGGATCCCCCGAGCCTCCTCTTCTGCAGGCTGAGCCGCCCCAGCTCTGCCAGAATCCCACGCCAGCCATTTCCCACGCGGTGCTGAGGAGGGGAGGGGATGCGGGGGAAGGAAAGGCGCTGGTGGGTGCAGTCCTACGACACGGCCATTTGAGCTGCCCTGTCCTCACCCAGCGGTGGGCAGCGGGACGCTGCAGACAGAAGCGCTGAAAAACGAACGCTAAACATTTAATCGTTGAACACACAGAGCAGTAAACAGAGGAATGACCGCGTTCCCAACCAGCTCCCATCCTGACAATCATCCCCCCTCGCGGCTTCCCTCCTCGGGGCCAACTCGAAGCGGCTCCACGTCGGCTTCACGCAGCTCCGGGAGCTGCGCGCGGGGACAGACAGGCGGACAGATGGAAAACGGCACCTGGGGACTGCAGCTGCGGGGCAGCAGCCGAAGGCTCTCGCTGACTCCGTGCCGGGCTCGAACGCGCCTCGACCCGCGCGATCGCTCCCTCTCTTTCGGGGCTGCCCGGCTCAGCCAGGAGCCGCTCCCGGACGCCGGCGGGTCCCGCCGCTCGCGGTCAGCCGCCGCTTCACGCAGCCCGGCGGCGCAACGATGGCGGACGGCTCGGTTCCGACGGGGGACGGACGGGGGCCGGCGGCGGTGCCCCCGCGCCGCCTTCCCCCGACCGCCCGGCGTCCCCGAGGCACGGGGCGGGCGGCGGCGGGGACCCGGGGCAGCGGAGCTCCGCGTTCCCCGCACGGAGCCCCGCGGCCGCAGCCGCCATTGGCGGAGAGCCCGCGCTCGGCCCCGCCTCCTTCGCTCTCCCATTGGTCGGTCCGCCGGATGGGGCGGGCACTCCGCGCGGGGTCCTTTCCGTCCGCGGTCGCGCCATCATTGCGTCATCACCGCGCGCGTCCCGCCCGGCCCCGGCCCCGGCCCCGGCCCGGCTGCCTGCGGCGCCGCTCCGCTTCCAGGGCTGCGGGGCGGCCGGGCCCCGGCTGCGGCTGCGGGAGGAGGAGGGCGGGGACGTGGGGGACCGCAGCGAGGCCGAGCCCGCGCCCGCACCCGCACCGCCACGCCCCGCTCCGTGCGGGCCTTGCTGGAGAGCGGCGAGCGCGGGCTGGCGGCTGCCCGGGCGCAGGGGGGGAAGCGGGGCGTCCGGACGGGCGGCGCGGCCCGGCGATGGCGTGGGGAACCCGCTGGATACGGGCGGCTCCGGGGCACCTTGGCGTCCCACTGCAGGCGGCGGTCGCGGTGCCGGCCCGAGGCCGGCGCTGTGCGGGGCGGGGCTGAGCGCGGGGCGATC